TGTTCATTATATATGACCTTCTGAATGTAATTTAGGTCTAAATTCAATGGCCAGGCCGTGATTCAGAGTTTCGGCAATGCGCTTATGTGTCTTGTCATGTCTGCTGTGGGTTGGTTCTCAGGATTTTACCTGGGGGGAGGGAAGATCCAAAAAAGAGGGACGAACTTAAGCTTGGATTATGCCACTGCAGTTCCATATAGCATTTCAGTGTGCATTGCCAAAGGGAAATTGTTGTTCATTAGTATCGGTGAAAGTTTCACTAAATCACTAGTAACAAAAATCCAATGTATACAGTTTTGAATGCCGAAAAGTAAATCACCCTTGCGAAATACTTGACAAAGCAGTTACAGAAGGTAACCAGCTAGTACAATTGTGTACTAAATAATTATATCCTTTTCCTCCTTGTCATTGGACTGGATTTATGTTTAAGCCTAAGTGATAATTATTTTTGCAGTTTGAGGCTAGATACTTAAATGGCTGGCATGACATAGAGCACCTGTTTGACAAAATTCAGCCTGCCAATATCTGTTCTCTCAATTCCCTCCTATGACTATAAAAAACATGTGTTGAGAGGATCAGAGTAAAGGGTAAAGCAGATATTTAACTGGCATGTTGTTGGTTAAATTTCATTAGGTTAACAATAAAATAAATTTATTAGAATAATAGAATTAATAAGGTTAGTATGGCTAACTTGACCAGGTGATCTGACTGAAAGTCTCCTGAAATAGAAATGCGCTTTTTCAGATAGGTGACAACTATTGTTTTATGTTGCCCGTTCTTAAAATCAAGACAAGGTTTTATTGCTTCAGAAATTACCTGATAATAAATTCCTACTACAGGCAAAGCAATTCAATAGCTGTCCAAAATAAATTTTGAAGTTAGGAAGTCAGTATTCTAAAATCTGCCTCTGTGGAGCTGCATCCATTGCCGCTGTAGGCGAGTGAGCTGCACGTGCTTAGCCGGAGCCAGAGAGCTTGGCCTTGGCAGCACTTGCCACAGCGAGCTGCTCTGTGTGTGTTTGCACACTCAAGGCAGCACCGTGCTTCACTGCTTTAGGCTTGACTACACGGGAAGGAGCACTAAGACTGCTACGTTTACTTAAAACTAACAAATACATTTGTACATGTCACTCCTTAATAGCTGCTGTATTATTTGGCTGCTTAGTCATGGCATCTGTAAACCTCTGTGCTTGCCAGGGTTAACCATTCATTCCAAGCAGAAATCCCATGCTGTGGGATACTGGGAAGTACCTTTAAATACTGGATTTGCCATTTTGCTTGCGTTCTCTCTCTCTTTTTTTTTTTYCCCACTATAAAGTTTTTCCATATAAAAAGTAGGAATATCTGTTTAGACTACCTCTGTCTGTATTTCCAAGATATCTRAAAGTACAAGGCAAAAGACATGGTGCATGTGGAATTCCGTTGTGAAGCCCTGAGGTCCCAAGTCTGACGCTGCTAGGATGCCTCAGAGTGAATATTCATCTCCTCATAAAAAAGCAGCACAGTGTGTTGTGTGTGCCCTAAGTTATGCAGGGAATTGGCCAAAATATATGGTCCAGAAAGGGAGCCCTTTAGCTTCTGAGAGCCACAAGAGGTAGAATGAAGTGGTCTCATCCTTAGACTACTGCCAGAGACATTTTTCAAGACTTTCAGGCAGCAAGTTTCAGTCCCAGAAAGGAAGAAAATGATTCTACAAACAGCATAATGCATGTGTGAGTGTACTTGGCCCCGTTTTATAGGACTTGTGTTGCCACAATAGTAGTGGGGGGAAAAGAAGGAAGGAGGGCTAAAAAGCACTAGGAGCATGAAATAAAGCAGCTTACAGCAGCCTGCAACCACCAAAGCTTCACAGGGTGGAGYACCATTTCCAGGAGTGACTGGTAGAGCAGGGTAGCTCCACGCCAGGGTGGCAGCCAACCTTGGAGGTGCCTCATTGCAGCGCTGCCTGCCCCTGTGCTTCCGCAGCCCGAGTGCCTGCCCAGTGCCCCTGCAAGGTGGCAGCAGCTCTGCGATCACAACTCTGCCTTGAGCTGTGCATCCAAAAAACAGCACGGAGGTTTTCTGCAGTGTGATGGCCGAGTGCGCTGGCATCATCCATGAGTGATCCTACTCCTGGTAGAAGCTGATTAGATTTCTTAGACTCATAAAGACAAGGTCATGGAGGCTTGTAAAGCAGTGAGGAAGGAGCTTCTGTGCTTTTAACTCCAATTCCTGTGCAATTCTGGCAACTTATGAGGCGCTTTCCATAGGTGACATTGGTGCATAATTGTGTCATGCTCGTCATCTTCCTGGCACACGGCAAAAACTTTGTCAAAAATAAATTTCACTATTACTAAATAAAGCTAAACTAGCAAGACCCATAAAACCACAGTGCACCAAATGTAGTGTGGTTTGTTGTAAAGAACAGGAGAGATTTTGCTACCTAGACTTCTATGAATTTGATTCTTCCCATCTGACAAAGCAGGTGGTAGAGCTGGTTGTGGCTGTCAGAGGGGTAGGCTGACTAATAGCTAACTGGTGGCAGCCAGGTTCTGCATTGAAAAGTCTAGGTACTTCTTCACAGAGGGGAGTACTTCATACAGGAGTTTAAAGAATTCATTTATCCTGGTAAGCTGGATTTATGCTACCACCACTCATTGTCCAAAAGCTTTGGCAATATCCCATTCACCTGTCTGTGCTAAGCAGCTGAATGCCAAAGTTGCTGTTCTGCATAGTTTTGTTTTGTTTTTATCCCTGAGATGCTCTGTTGGGTGAGCAAAGATTTATTTGCAGCAGCCTGTTTGAGGAAAGCTCTATGAGGATTTACATTTAGAGTATGAGGATTCCGTTTACAATGCTTTTAAATTTACCTCAATAAGAGCAGGCTGAGTAATATTATGAAACAGAAGGAACTGGGAGACATCAAGGGGWTGTTGGCTCATAGTAGCATCCTACAGTGAATAGTGGGAAAAATCACAGAGGAGCCCAGCCTGGGATATCTGCTGTGGTTGCTCCTGCAGCGCTGCATGGATGCAGAGATTCCCAGGTAGCTTTGCAGAGACTAATGATGCTGTGTGGAAACAGTGCTTAGGCAGGAATTATTCTGCATCAGTTAATGCAAATGCACAAGACTCAGAACAGCTTTCAGGTTGAGGCTTGCCCTTAGTTTGTATGATTAACCCTATTAGGTGTCTGATGTCCTTAGCTTTAAAGGAACCTAGGAATGAAGGGTGTTCGCAAAGCAGTGGATCCTGTTTTTCAAGGAAATAATCTACATTTCAATTCTTTTGAAGAATCAAAGGACAATTTTAAGGTTCTAAAGATGCTGTGAAATGGCAGCTCCTCCCCCATATTCRCCTAATTTGTATACTAGCATTTTGGTCAGCCAGAGAAATGCTTGGGATGACTAAATGTGTCTCCAGACATCCAAGTTAAAGTTAAAGACTAAGATATTTTCACTGCTGAAAAGCATAAACAAGGCCTAAAGGAGCTGATAAAGCACCATGCTATTTGCCAGCATGAGAACTGTCACACTCGAGCGCTGTCATAGGACTGTGCTTGGCCTATTACACTGCCCAAGGAAAAGAAAACACGTTCTTGAGGACCAKTTTTTTCTTTCTCTCTTGGTCCCAGACATTCGTCCTTGAAAATTACTTTCACCATATCAGTATTTACTATTATAGATGGAGATTTATTACATGGTGTTTCCCCTACTTAGATGCCTGTTGTTTATTTAAAAATCTTGGCCCTGGATGGCTTTTTGTGAATAAACTATCTGGGTGGTTGTATGCTAACTGATACAAAGTATGGCTTCCGCCATGCTGACCCACAATGATTTCCATTTAAAATGCCTGAAATATTTTTGTATGTTAATTATTATGGTTTTTACTTCAGATGTGGGTACATTTCAGTAATTACRACATTCACCTGGGAATTTGTAGTAACTATATTAACCATAAACAGCATAAACACCAATCTCAAATGGTAGGAAGTTCAAAAT